TTGTTGCGAGTCGTTGACGAATTTTTGAATTTTTTGGTCGCCAGCCATAAAATTTGTGCACTAATTTTTGAGTGCAATTTTTGTGAACATTTGAAGAAAGTGTTATGCATTTTTTTTCATAGAATGGTACTCCGTTTCCTTAGTATCACTTCAGTTATCTAAAGAACCTTTTTTAATTGAAGCCGTTTAATAGACATTATTATATTTATTTTTAAACAGCAAAACTGCTTTATGAATTCCGCAGCATCTCTGTTGTTTCCTTCTTCTATAGCTAGTCTTTATCAGTTCCTTTCCTTTCTCATATCCCATCAAGTCGGTTTTACCATTAACCAAACTTAGACGGTAGCCAAGAGGCCGGAAAACTGAAGCCCCAGCATAACGAAAAGACATATAGCCGTTTAGTGTTAATTAATAAATATGTTTTTAATTATCACATGTATAAATATATGCCTGTGATTATAATATACATACACCGACAACGTATAGGGGCGCCTAAATTCAGGGGCGCCTATGATCAAAAAGGGCAAATGCCTGGATCCATCACCTACTAGGTCTCCATACCTATGTAAGATAAGAAAATATTACCCTCAAAAATTTCCTCGCAGAAAAATATCTGAAGTCAACACTGTATACGGGCCTCCGAATTCAAAAATGCCTGGGCTCCATGAAGCTATAACGCCCCACTGTCTAAATTTACTTTGCCTAAAGAGTCATATATTATCGCTCCTGTTCTGTATCCCATTATTTCTTCTGTAATCTCAACAATAAGCTGTCTCATCTCATTTTACGTTTCCCGAATAGCTGAATTAGAATCATCTAGTTCTGGTTTCAGTGTTTCAGTAGTTTCCCCTTCACGCACGTTGATATTCTATCTGAATTTTCACTATAAAAAATAAAAATTCTTAAAAATAACACACGAAATATGGTGATATCTCGGTCATATTTTTATTTTGTTTTTGAAACCGTGTTTTCAGAATATATTGCTTCGAACTCACATTTGAGTTATAAATAAACACTTGACTTTATTTCCATCATTTTTAGTCGATATGATGAAATAAAGCCAAGTATTTATTTATAATTCAAATGTGAGTTCGAAGTCCATATTTTTATTTTGTCAGCCATTAAAATTTTTTATAATCAAAATAAAGAAAAAAAACGTTGCTGATATTTTTCATTATAATCAACAAATACGCCGAAATGACGACGATACTTTCTAAGAAGAAATTTTCATAATATACATAAAAATAATATTAACGCGTACACAGTACTTGTCATTATTAATTAAATACAANTGTCAGGAGTTGCAATTTGGCACAGAGTATTAAGTGCCCAAATCATGCGCGCATAAAAAAACCTGACTTGTTGGTACTCGGAACCGAGAACCTAGTGAAAGTAAAATACAAAATGGCGACTCTCTCTACAAACAGGCAAACCGAAGTCAGGTGGTGAGAGTACCACCCACAGTCGTTCAAGGAAATGGACTTCGACCTTAGGACTGAACACGTAGTATTTTCTTTCTTAAATAAAATTTGTAATCTAATTTTGTAAATTTGGGAGTGCTTCAAATATGACATTAATACAGGGTTTTATGTCGTTACAAGTAGGTTTTTTAACATTGACTAGTATAGTAAAATTGTGGGGCCAGTAAAATTTTGACGTTATAAACAGGTTAAACTGTATATTGTTTGTGCAAAATAAAAAAAAAAATAATTTTGGACAATACAATAGCCACTATTATTTTTTCAAAGACGAGAAATTTTCGTTAGGCATCGACAAAAATTCAACCCGGGTCGACACGGAACGGAGAGAAATTTCGAAATTGGATAGGTTAATTTCATCGAAAATGCATGGTGGACGACCTCGTTGCGTGGCTGGAGAAGTTTGAACGATCGCCCCCAAAAGCAGCGATACCAAAGAAGATTGGAGAATGAGAAAGAGATCCACTTTGAGCGTCAAAGTGATTCCGCTTAGTAGTGTCTCCCAGACATATTCGTGACCCAAATACGGTTTTGCCGTTTTACTTGTTTAATTTAGCCTTTTTGCTTAATATTTAAATGATATAATATTTTACCAGTATTATACATTTGTCCAACAGAAGAGTAATCTATCTTATTTACAAATCTTTTCAAAATAGACAGTTTGACCGGGCTCTTCTAAAAACCGGGCCCTAGACATTTGTCTCATTTGTCTATGCGATGATCTGGCCCTGAATATGAAGACTGACATTGAATGTCTTCGGCCAGTTTATTGTATTCTGGTACATAAGTTCTTACAGCAAAAGTCATACAATCATTCAGATTCTCATTTGTTATTCTGTATCTGTTTATAGGACTTTCCCCCTACTAACTTCAGAATGTTCCATACTCAGCATCAAGTTTATCAGTCAGTATTTTGAATAATCTGCTCAAATTGTGTGGCTAAGGAAGAACATTGACAGATGCATTGGGACTATAAAGCATTTCAAATACATAATGGTACGATGTGTTTTTCTCGTCGTGGACTTGGTCGCCTGGCAGAAATCATCGGTTGCATGGTTACGAAAATGTATAGTGCAATATTAGAAAATAATCATCGTTCTTCGGCAGAAAATATGTGTAAGAACACCGATTCTGTTTCAACATAACAATAACTCCAAAGCATTCGTTCAAGCTTGTCAAGAATTTTTGGCTTTGGATTTGAATTCTACCGAACATCTTTGGAAGGAGCTGGTTCGAAGAATTCTAAAATCTAAGAAGAAATGCCTGTAAGTCTACTGGATGACATTATTCGATAAATGGAGTAAGATCAACATCGAACTTTTCGAAAAACTAATGGATTCGATGCCATTGTTTTACATTAATTTTTAAATTGAAACATAATTAAAATTGCAGTCTAAAATTATCACGGCGTCACAATAAATAATTAAAATTCTGTATCTGTGTGTTTTTTAATTCGTAAGCCAACAAAATGTCTCGGTGATTCCTCTCCGATACGAGTAAAATCGTCATTAAGTCTGACCCTACAGGAGATACACACGACTCCCGTTATTATCTCCCCACTCCTCGACCTTTAATTACTCTGCAAAATTTCAGAAATTTTCGACAAAAACTACAACAGTTATTAATTAAGCTTCAAAGAATGTAAACAAAACATGCCCCACACACACCCACACCTACACACAGATATAAACTTTCCCACACATACAAAACATCCATATATACAGAACAACCTCCGAAATGTTTGCATTTCTCGACGTTTGAAGGTGTCACGAGCTCAAAAATGTGTAAATCTTCGGGGTCATTTGTTGACCGATTGCCATACTTTTCATATAACAGATCCGAAAAACTAAAAATGTACAAATTAAAATACAAAACACATTTTAAAACTACAACTAGAAGAACTTCGTCTCTAACTGAAAGACAAAGACGGTATTCGTTGTAAATCATTTTGTTCACGACGCGTTTTAGGAACTTAAGTATTACATATTATTAAATACAGAACGTCCTCAATATAACGGACAGAATTTGATCCAATAATCTAGTTTCTTATATTCGCATCTTTCATTTATAAACAT